TGACGCGAAAAGAGGGGAACCAAAACAAGAGGGAACAGCTGCAAGGAACCGAAAACCTTGTAGAAAAGATTTCAACCCAAATAAGAGAGGGGAAAAGAATAAAGAAGGAAATCAGTTTCTGGGTTACAAGATGGAGTGTGTTATCATCTATGGCTGAGTCTTCAGCAGCCACCACTGCTAGATAATTTCTCAGTGACTGGGTATGCCTCTATGGAGCCTCAAAGAGGATACTCACAGACCATAGTATCAACTTTGTTAGTACCAATTTCTATGACACGGCAAAATTCCTGTGATCTAAGGCACAACCACTACAGCCTACCACCAAGAAGGAAATGGACAGAATGAATGTGCCCACCACAAACTACAGTGGTACCCCACACCACAACCCCCCCCCCCTGTAGAATGAACATTCTGCTTAAGGAATGTTTTTTGGGGAACATCCATTTTTCCACCCAGATAGAACAAATAAATTTTGTACTAGGAACAAGGGTGAATGTTCACCCTTGTTTGTATTATGAGCGTTGTACTACAAACAAGATTTCTTTTTTGTAGTAAAAAAAAAAGTTATGTGTTCTGAGACAATGGTCTCAGAACACAGAAATGTGTGTGGCATTTAAAAGTTTTTGGCATTGAAAGTATTCTGAGACAATTGTTACAAGATAATTGTCTTAGAACACTAATGCCATGAAACTTTTTGTGTTCTGAGACCATTGCCTCAGAACACAGAAATTTTCTGATGACAAATGCCAAGAAAATTTTTGTGCTCTGAGTCAATTGTTTCAGAGGTCAGAAGCTTTCATGGCATTTGTCACATACGATATTTTCTTGCCAATTTTCATCAGAAAATTTATGTATTCTGAGGTATTGGTCTCAGAACACAGAAATTTTGAACTTCTGGAAATTCATCTGTGCTCTAAGACAATTGTCTCAAAGCACAGAGATTCTCCTGGCATTAAAAATGTTGTGGCATTTGAAGTGTTCTGAGACAATTGTCTCAGAAAACTAATGCAAAGAACATTTCTGTGCTCAGATCACAGAATTTTTTATGTGACAACAGTCAAATGGCCATCATCAAATCTGTCAAATGCAATGAGAACTTCTGTCCTCTGAGAAAATTGACTCAGGAATTTTGTGGCATTCCTCATAAGAAAATTTATGTGTTCTTGTCTTGAAACACCTCTGGTGCCACAAAAAGTTAAATGCCACAAAAATGTATGCTCTGAGACAATTGTCTCAGAGGACAGAAGTTTTCATGGCATTTGTCCAGATGTGACGACAGTCATTTGACCTTTGTAACTTAAAATTTTGATGTTCTGAGCACAGATAATTTCTTGGCGTAAGTGTTCTGAGACAATTGTTTCAGAACAATTTTTTCAGAACACTTTTAATGCCACAAAATTTTTAATGTCACAAAAATTTCTGTGCTCTGCTGAGACAATTTTCTCAGGGCACAGAAACACAACACAACAAATCAAGTGCCCTGACTGGATATGCGGACATCACATACCTAAACTGCTGCAACCATTTTTGCCACATTTGTTATTTTTTCGGTTTTTGATTTATTTTGATTGTTGTTGCTGTTGTTACAATTTTCCCCACTTCTTGAAATTACTACAGTATTAACAGTTACACTTGTGTGACAAAGGTCAAACCAAATCAATCTACTAAAACTGTCACTACCAAAACCAACAGAAAACCTGTACAAATCAAAACTTTTGAGGATACATCTCTTCAACTCCATTCATACAAAATTCTACTGGGAAACACTGACAAAATTCTGGGCATGTTGACCTGACCAACACTCAATTGGTACTGTCAGCAACTTGTCAAATTTTACCCAGCTTTCAACCAAGGGCCCAACTTGCCTCATGACTGCAGTCTCCTTCCTTGGAAGCCAGGCAATAAATTTTTGGTCAACACTTGTGGACTTGTGCAACAGGAAACCTGAGCAATTATTTTTCTGCACAATGCTGTTATTGAACTTTCCTGGAGCATTTATTGCACTTGACAAAAAGGCATGGGAACCTCTTCCTTTATTGCCCAGGGTGGGTTGTTATCCTACAAACACCATGACAATTTGTTTCAAAGTTATTCCTTGCAATTACGTTTTTCTTTAGAGTAAAAGGAAGAAGGTTTTCCAAGGCATTTATTTCTCCTTGTTTTGGTTTGATGACTTTCCTCATTATCCTACAGACCTACATGAATGTGTGACTCATTTCCCATATATGTATGTAACTGTTTTCCTCTCTTGTTGACAGTGACAAATGGCAATCACTGTTTTCTACCATATTCTTTATTCTCCTATATTTAGAATGTGAAGAGGTTCTTGGGAACACAGCATGTGTATAGAACCAGACACATAAATGCTTTGTACAGTCAAACCCAGTTAAACCGCCAATGTCTGTGCAGCAAGATTTTGACGGTTTAACAAGGATGGCGGTTTATTGAGGGTGGTGGTTCATTTGGGGGGGGGGTGGAATATGACATCAATTGGCACACAAAACATAGGTTCAAAGAAAATGAAAAGAATTTTTTTTTTACATTGTAACTGAGATTATTTTTCTCATTGTCGGCCTGCATGTGCTATGGTTGGAAAGATAAAAATTCATATTTATTCCATGCAACAGTTTTTAACTCAAAGAAAATTATTTGTGAAATGAAAAAGACAAAGAGATGGGCTACTTCAAATTCTTTGCTTCCTATCCTGTACACTTCTGAAGATCCCAATTAAAGTGTTTGCAAGTCCCAGCAGTCTATCTGCCAGATGATCATCAAAAAATAATGATGGTTCAAAATGGCTTGCCAATTGGTATGCTGATGAAGATATAAAATATAACTTATTCATTCAATATTTGTCCAATAGAATGGGTTACTTGGGTTATTTATTTTTAGAACTAAAAATATTTCAAAAACTTACCACAGCACAAACATGCAAATTCCTATATGTTTGCAGCATGTAAACAACTTCATGGTGATAAATTTAAGCATCAGCAGGGTTTGATTTCAGTAAAATAATATCTATAGGAATTTTTAAAATATTACAAAGAATCCATGAATTTGTCAAACAAGCCAAAAATGTCTGAAAACATTCAATAATACAATCCCTGTCTAACTTTGAGGAGTATTCTAAAGTCTGAAGGAATCTCTTGCTGGAACCATAAAGATAACTATATTTTGCCGCCAATCTGATTACAATTGGGTAAAAAAAACAGCGTAAAAAATTGGAGAGTCAAAAAAGTTGCTGAAAATGCTTGCAGACCATGATATTAAACGATTTAGGGAGAAAAAAACTAAACTCTCAAGAGTATGTTTGGCAGAAAGAAAAGTTTTGCTTGTTTCAAGAAAAAGTAAATATTGAAAGAAGTTGAAGAAAAAGTAGAAGGAAAGCCTTGGTCAGGAATTGGCAGTTTAATGGGGTAAAAAAAACAAGGGCAGGTGCCTATTTCTGGCCCAAAAATTTTTGGCGAATAGCGGATGGCGGTTTATCAAGGTTTCCCCATCCTTTTAACATTGGGGAGAATTGTTTGGGGTAAAATTTTGGCAGGAGGTGAGGGTGGCGGTTTATTGGGGGGCAGTTTAACGGGGTTTGACTGTAGCTCCAAAACTATTTCATGATCTTAATCCTCAAAGCATATATAATATTGCTGTTTTAGCCAGCATTATCCAGAATTGATCCAGAGACTCTTGCAATTTTTCTCAAGAAGCCTTGCAGTGATTTTAGCAAGACTTCCTCAACTTGCTAATACCTGGATTGACTGAATTGTTTGTGTTGTGCAAGTTATCCGTGTCTGAAAATATATACTGTATATCCATATGTATATATACCTGAATACTTATATACAGCCATGCTACATTTTTTTCATTTCAGTGCATCCAAATGTTTTTATTCAGTTAAGACAAGATATTCCTTCCCAGATTCATCCTTTCTTGCTCATCCCAAAGCCTGTACATTGCTATTGGTTTGCTGCAGTGTGGCAAACTGGCCATGCAGTGGCATTTTTACCATATGCCCAAGCTGTTGTCATGCACCCAGGTTACCCCCCTGGAATACAGATGGTACCTTGCAATTTGACCTCTTGCATTTCAACTGTCCCACAATTTGATGGGAACATTTTCTGGTAGGTCAACTCCTGTTTGACCTCTGCTGTGCAATTTTAACAAAAGAGAGACATAAAACATCAAATTCCATGTATAAAACATTCCACTTGACATTATCTCACCATTTGACTGCTTCACAGTTCAACCCTAGTCTCCAGCAATGGATTAGGGTCAAATTATGAGGTACCAACTGCATCAGGTTGACAATCTGGCAACATCTTGCTGGGACCCTACATCAGGGATGAAATTGGTGGCACTATGTCCAGGGGTAGCACTAAATTAGGGTGCACCAAATGAAGAGTTGACTGTATTTTAATTCATGGTTATGTGGCAAAAGTTAAACTGTGTTCATTTGTATTCCTTTTCACACTCTAGAAACCATTCCAAGAAGCATTGGGCAATCCTATGAACCCAATTTCAACCTAACTGATGAAGAAACACTCACCAGACTGGAGGCGGAAATTCCGAATGTCCCTGTCAAGTTCTGGAGATCTGTGGAAAAAAACTTGCAGATGATGCAAAAAGGTGGCAATTGCGCACAAATGCCCAATATATTCGAATTGGCGTACGACAACTTGGTCTGGCAAAAGGTGAAGACCAGCAATGGAACATTCTACTTATATTCCGCATACTTTGACATCCGTCCACTTTCACCTGCTCCAACGCTTCGGATCCTGTCAATGATCGATCGAGCTGTGCCAACTGTACCCACTTTCTGCCAAATCTGGTTCGAAAACAGCACTAAACCCGTGATAGCTAATGTATCTCAGTACAGAATCCTTTGGGAAAGGGCTTGGGGAACCTCGAACAAGAATCCCTTTTCGATTGAATGCAAAGTGCCTCTGGTGAATAATCAGACAGAGGTTCCAGTCGCAGTCTCGGTGGTGGAAAATTCCTGCGATAAGGCATCGAACCTGGTGAAAGTGACCCACAGAACCCTGGAACCCGGGAGGAACAAATCAATTGCTGTTTGCATCAAAGAAATGCAATTTGTGCATGAAGAACCCGTCTTCAATCTGATAGAATTTCTGGAACTCGTTCGACTTTTGGGTGCGGAAAAAGTTTATATTTACGTTATGGAGCCGCAGCCGAATCCAAGAGTTGAGAGACTCATCAGGTATTTTGTTTCCCCCTTCTACAGAAAAAAAATTGGAGACAAACAATTATTGAATTTCCATCTTATTAGAGTCATATCTAGTAGGTCTTTATACAGTGAATTACTGTATTTCCATAGTACAGTAGACTTGTATGCCTACCACGGTGGTTAATTGCGTCACAATGCTGCACACTTTCAAGCACAATCAAAATCACAATCCTTGCGATTTCCCTTATGCATATAAAAGTTCCTGAAAGAAACTTGCAATTTTGATTGTGAATTCAATTTCTTGACATTTACAATTCTGCTTGCAGTTGTAAAAAAAGCAAGTGAATCAAATTGCAACTTTTCTTTTAATTTCTTTAGTGTGAATTTTCAATAATCCTATACTAAAAAGTGTTTGGAATGCAAAAAAAAATTAGTTTGTTCTCAAATTTAAAGAAATTTTGTTATTGTGAACTTCTGAAAGTTCTGATTTTTTTACAAGAGCATTTAGTTTCCTTTATTGATAATTCCTGACATTTCATTGAACTCCTCCAATGATAACAACAAGAATATTGTTCTAGATATTACCTTTAAACAGATAGTTTAAAAAATATAGTAAAAGTAGAACAACATATGAAGAACAATCAGTTACATGACCCAATACAGCCACTAAAAAAATTATAAGGTTCATAAAAATAAGCATAAGCTGGGATGAAAATTTTCCAGGGTCCAGGCTGTGATATGATGAAACGCAGCCCTGAAACCCAGACCAGGTTCTAGCACCAGGGATCTGTTGAGTAGAATGATCTTTAGCAAGAAAATGCATCCCTTATATACTGGGGTTTCCACCTCTCTCATGAGAATCTCAGAAACAGCAAGGATAAAGAGAGGGATTTAGGTAGGTGTAATCCTCCATTAGGACTAGAATCCAAGGACCAGGATCCAAGGACTCAAGACTGGCACAGAAGGGGTAAAAGGAGACCCCTTCTTTCACCCCAGCCTTGGATCTGACTCCTTGGATCATGGTCCTTGGATTGCAGTCCTAATGGTCAATTAGACCTACATGAAACCCTCTCTTTATCCTTGGTTTGTCTGAGATTCTCATGGGAAAGGTAGAAACCCCAGTATAAAAGGATGCATTTTCTTCCTAAAGATCATTCTACTCAAAACCTCTTTATGGGGCTTGGACCTGATCTGGTCAATCTTTCAATCATTCCTGCCCTAACACCTGAGAATATGTTACTTGCTGTCCTGCATTTGCACCATTTTTTTATTTTCAGGCTCTCCCTTCCTTCCTGCCCCTTACCTCCCTCTCACAGAGCCCCAGAGAGGCCTGCAGGATGGTCCTGTTTCCCTTTTTCAAAGTTTGAAAATTTGAGAAAATTTGAATTATGGATCAAAATCAATTTTAAAAACTATATGAGAAGCACCATGATGTTTCCTACATTTAAGTAATTTAAATTATGAAAAAGCCTAAAAATTCATCAAGTTACAATGAAAAACACAAAACGTTTTTCAAAAACCGGGATAAAATGGGAAAAAATACTCTTATATTTTTAATTTTAGCTTTTTATATTTTTGGTTTTGCTCAATGAAAAAACACTTACATTCACAAAACATCCATGTTCAATCACCCCTAAAATATGATATGGACATTTTTGAAAATTCCATTTCCCATTTTGCTAAGTTTAAAAATTTGTTAAAATTTCAATTATTGAGCAATTTCCAAATGGTTTCAAGAGTTACTTGCGCAATGAAATTTCCAATATTTCCTTTTTTGAAATTTTTTAAAAACTTCAAAAGTGCATGAGATAGAATCAAAAACGCAAAAACATTCTTGAAAATTGTATGAAAATTGGGAACAAAGATTTTGTAATTAGAATTTTTACTCATTCAATTTTCAACATTTTCCAACATGAAAATTTGTAAAATTGTTAAACATCTGTGCGCATGTAACCGTGCCCAAAAGTTTGAAATTTCATCAAAATCCTAAAAGTTAGAATGAGCTAAACAGAAAAGTTTGAATTCCTGGATATGTGTTTCTTCCCATTTTGTCATATTACAAAATCTGTTCAAAATTCAACTTCAAATCAATTTTAAAATTTCTTCATAAGTTGCAAGCACCCCAATGTTTTCTGAATCTCACCTTTGCAATTTTGAAAGAACTTTAAAATTGAATGAGCTATAGACAAAAATGCAAAAACATTTTTGAAAAAAGTGCAAAAATCAACAGGGGGGGGATTTTTACTTCATGATTTTTAGCTTGATCAGTTTTCCACATTACTAATTGAAAAAATTTAATTTTTAAGAACATCTTTGTGCACACAGCCCTGTGAAAAATTTCAAGTTGGAATCATTAGAAAAACAATTGGCAAGGACCTAAAGTGAAAATTTTTAAATTCTGTTAGGGGATGGAAGGGAATTGAGCACCACAAGAACATTGAGAAGTGGTAGCAACTTCATCAAATGAGACAAATAGGGTGCCCAGCCACACCTGGCAATGTGCATAAAACTGATGCTTCTTGGCATGTTACCAGCTTTCAGCATTCAATTTTTAAAAATTCATTTTCATCATGTAACAATCATACATTCACATTTGGCTGGGCACTCCAAGATGGGATTGTAACAAGTAATAAAATCCCCCTGCTTATGTGCCAGTTGTGGCCCACTGGGCCACAACTGGCACATTGAGCACAAGTACAAGATTACCGGTGGTCCTTCACCAGTTCACCAACTTCAATCATAATTTTTTTTCAAGTTCTTTGCGTATAATTTGTAACATGATAAACAGTTGCATGTGGGCACCCCCTCTTCCACATATTACTTTGTGTAGTATACATCCAAGTTTTCAAAACTTAAATGTGTCCAATGCCCAGGTGTGGCTGGGCACCCCCAGCTTGTATGAGTAAAATTGAATTGCAATTCTTTGAGATGAATTTGTAAGATTGTGCTAAAACTTGCAATTGTGATAGTGGCAAAAACTGAAAATTCAGTAGCAATTGCAATTGGGCAACAATTGCCATGTTTTGTGGAGATTGCAATTTTGATTGTGTAAAAAGGTTTAAAAAAATAGCAATTGCACTTGTGAACGATTTGAAATTTTGATTACAATTAACAACCCTGATGCTTACATAGGAAGCAAAGGTTGAAGGAAAATTAAATATCACCTTGCATAAGTTCATATGCCTTTATGGAAAATGACGCAGTTCATTATCCTATTTTCCAAAAGTTTGTTCATTTGGGAAAGCTACAAATATGCAGGATATACTGTTTACTGTATATACTCCAATGAAAGCCGGCCCCAGCATTTATTTCAAATTTTCAGTTTCCACTGTAACAAAGACCAGCAGTTTCTGTCACCTTGAATCTCCTTTGAGACCCATCAACTGTCAGAGACTGGCATCTATTGCAGACCTGGCATTTTTTGGAGCAAAAATGGTATTAGAACATGAATGAAGCCATCATTCAGCACAGCCAGCATTTTTCTCTGTATTCTCATGGTGCAATGCTATATGACTGTATAATGAAAAATAGGCTGATAACTCATGATAAATTACCTTCTGTGGTATGGTCACCTGGTTTTCCAATTTTTCAATAATGGGTCAAGCAATACATTTGAATTATTGAAGCACTAAAAAGATATACACAATCAAACTTCCCAGCAATATGAACTTGCTTTTGAATAGCACCCTCATTTTGATCTTCAAATTGGTTTTTCAAAGAAAGATGTGTTTGGAACTTGATAGAATACTGCTAGTCTATGCATCAATTCATATCAGAAAAATGGAAGTGGCCTTCACAACAATACAAGTTATTTTGAATTTAATTTTGCCTTGCTTAGATGGTTTTCTCAAAGTTTAGAAAAAAGTTATCCCTTGTGGGATTCCTGGAAATGTTTTTTGAATTTTGGTGACCATAAACAGTACATGGGTGTGCAAAATTTATCCTTATTTCTTTCACTAGACCATAAACTAATGTAAAACCATTGAATATCATACATTAAAGGTTGAGCCCTGCCATATGACCTGAATCCGTCTCTGGAGTGGACCAAGTCAAACTGTTATTAGGTAAAATTGCAAGACAAAGTCAAATGCGTGGTTTTCTACATCATAATTGACATTTTGCGTTTTCATATATTGGTGGAGTCATGGACAGTTGGTCAAATTACATGTTAACCTCCCAGCCAATTTAACCATTTAAATGCAGGATGGACATGTAGCAGGGTGGTCAAATTGCAAAGCAGTAGAATTGCAATACAATGTCAAATGAAATATTTTCTATACGGCATTTGATGTTTCATGTCTCTACACAGGTTGAATTGTGTGGTAGAGGTCAAATTGAGAGTCAAGCTCCCAGAAAATTTGACCATCAAATTGCAAGACAGTTTAATTGCAAGGTGCCACCTGTGTAATGTATTAGCATATGGTTGAGCATTCATTGGAAGCAGATGATGGGTGAAATTAACACAATACAGTACTTTGAAAATTTTTAAATTTTATTCATATCTTCAATTTCATTTAGGCAATTTATTCATATTGGTTACTCAAATCATGAGGAATTTCACCCTGGATACTGTATTCAAATTGCTGGTGCTGATTTTTTCTTCAAGGTATTACGAAGCTCAGGGGTTACTTGAAGTCTCCCGGATGACGATCCCGGGTTCTCTGCCAAATTCTCCCATTCTGCGTCACCTGTTCCTCGAAAAGAATGTTCAGCTGGGTTTTATCTACGAAATGGTAGCAACAAACGATTGCATCTACAAGAGCTTCTACCAGCAGGATCTAGTCCTAATGATCGACCTTGACGACGCCATCATTCCAGAAAACGGTTTGACCTGGCGAGAAATTATAAAAAACGTGACGAATGGCACAGGGTACTCCACAATCTCATTCATCAACGCCTTTTACCCCCTTAATTACCCCAAGCCCGAAAACTGGAACCCCGGTTTCCCAGGAGAGTTCACGATGCTGAACACGGTTAACAGGCTTGCCAACTACTCGAAACCTGGGATTTACGTGAAATCCTTCTTCAACACGTCTGATGTTCTCGTGGGGCACAGTCATAGGGCTCTGGGCTGCATTGGGTCGGGTTGCAGGGAGAAAGATGTGCCTGTCAGTGCTGGAACTTCGCATCACTATAGAAACGTTTGGGAAAGTGAAATGAGGAACCAGCCCTCGTCTGATAACACCACTGTGGCGGATTATTCCCTGTGGAAGTGGAAGGATGAACTAGTCAAGAGAGCCACAAGAGCTGCCAAAGATCTGGGACATCTTTGAAGCTTCCTTGATTTGACACTGAGGAAAAACTGTCAGCAATCGGCCATTGATTTTTGTTGTTGCTGGTTAACTTGAGTGTGTTTTGTTTTTATTTGGTTGCTGGCGTTCAATTCTCATTTGGTTGTGTTTTTGCCTCACAGCAGAAAGTGGTCCAAAATTCAGGCACGTTTGTCATAATTTAAGCAATGAGAATAGATGTGCAAGCATGAGGGAATGCTTGAACACAGAGTTTTTGTGTGTGAATACTTTTGATGGTTCTGGAAGCGTGTTCCTTGTGGAAAATAAAACTGAAAAAAATTCTCAAGAGATGTAATTAATCTTTTGGGAAAGTTTTTGTAACTGATATTGGATTCACAAAAATGCAGAAAATTTTCACAGCTCGCACCAAAAAAGAATGAGTGCATTCAGAACATTTGTAGGTGTGGATTACTTTTGAGGGGACACTGGTCACAAACCTGCTCATGAAATTGTTGTCCAGTCTTCAAATAAAGTATATACCATATTTTTATATAAAATATGACATGAATATATATTTCAATATATGCGACAGATATATATGTATATAGACAGTTTCTTTGGAGAGAGACTTCCTAAAAATATACTCAAGGAAGTTTTTCTGAGAATGCACACCACAGTAGTCTACAAGATTCTGATTCTTCTGAGTGAAGTCCACTGCTTATATACAGTGGGAACAAATATTGGGTGAATGACCAGGGAATCATTTCTTGAGAGAGAACTGATTTCAAGTGTATAATGTGGAGGTTTTTCTTACTAAAGAAAATATTTTGTGCAAAACAGGAGTTTGCACATTATTTGGAGCAGCGAAGCTCAACAAATTGAGCATAGACAATAATTGTCAGCAATTACTGTCAAGAAAAACACTTTCTGAAAATTGTTCCTGAGTCCTGAAAGGAGATCTGGTATAGTAAATAAGTGTTTTGTTACAGTATTTTCCAAACATTTTGAATTATCTATTGATGGCATAGAATGTTTCTAAAGGAAAATCTATTCAAAATACCGGATAACAAATTCACCTGCGGTAATGAAAAAAGGTTCCATACTTTTATGGGCTTTGCTGGCAATGCTAGGGTTTACAAGGTTGTTTGGGTTGTTAGGAAAGGAGCAGTTTAAAAACAGCAGAAGTGTTCATGCAGAAGTGCACAAGTGTTTCATTGCTCACCTGTAGACTGGGAAACTGCAAGGGAAAACATTCCCAGATCACCAGCCTCACCCTTTTTTGGAATTACTCATGCCCATGCAAGGACCAGGATGGGGGAGAAGTTTGACAGCAATATCAGTGTAGTTTTTTGTTTTGTTTGAAGGTGATGGGTCTGTTCTTTTCAGATTTTCTGGCTGAGTTAAATTCTGAGAAAATTTTCCTTTAGAAAATTTTGTAGTTCGGAATTTGCCTTTTCAGGAGTCTAGAACAATTTTGACTCAGGTACAGAATAGAGATATCAGAGTTCACAGCAATTTGGTTGAGCTTTGATTTCTCTATTCTGTCAGGTGATTGCTTTTGGAGATTAAGATTCTGCAAGGGGTCATCCAACAATATTCATCAATGGGCCTTCTCCTAACAGAGGATTTGTGTGTAGTACTAAGCTGGTCTACATTGAAATTTGACAATTGTAACCAAGTTTTGTACTATGCTTAGATTATATACACAAGGATCAGCAAAACTTTCATACACAAAAACATAGCATCACAAAAAAAAAATAAGAATCATTGAAATGAAGGTACAATTGATTCAATTGAAACCAAAACCGATTTTAGGGAGAAAAAGTGACACTTTTCATAAATTGGAAGAGGAATTTATTTTCAGCTGGAAATTTTGGATTCGAAATGAAATTTCCCAGATTTTCGAAAATGATTTTCGAAGTAGCGGATTTGTAACATGCATCTCCAAGATGAATTCAGAGGACAGACACTTTCGACATCTATTAGTACAGTAGAGAAATGATCAGATTCCTTGTCGGTTGGTCAAGCGGATTTCCGTCATCGGGGCTTTCCATGCGGGTTCTCATCAATTTCAGGGTCAAAGGTCACATTCTCGACACACTGGACTGCACCCGTTTACTCCACAATTGGGTTGGCAACACGTGTACAAGTGATGAATCCCGTCTTCTGATTCCCCAATTGGAATCTTGGGGCCTTCCAAGTAAGGAATTCCAGTTGGCCCCGAATTCATGCAGGAATAAATGTCACAAATAGTGGTTCCACTTTCGAAGGTGTAGCAACACGTGGCCGCGGTCACGTCGTCTGGCAGAGTTGGAGACCCGGGCCAATCGCCGCAAAAGTCCTGGGAACAGATGATGTAGACCGAGGAATCCGTGCCCACCAATCTGCAGCAGGGCAAGAGTCCAATCGCTTCAGGGACGACCTCCACTGGGGTTATTGAGGAATTGCTGTCCTTTGGGTGCCCGAAACAAATTGGCTGGTCTGGATTTGAACAAGCCTGGTCCAGTAGACAACATTCGGGTATTGGTTTCAGCTTATCCAGTGCTGGGAATAGTGTAACCGAAATTTAGATGAAGGCAGTCTCACTTCATTGATTCATTGATTATTGATTTCCATTTTTTGTCAACACCTAACATTTTTTTCCAATGCGATTAATGAAAATATTGCAAAGATTGGCTAAGCTTTCCTCACACACTCACCAGAACTTCCTGAGACGAGGAAGAATGCCGAATAAACAGCCAAAATCGTGATTTTCAACATGCTTGAGCAGGTATCAAGTTCTCTCAGATGATTTACTCTATTGGTCGAATTGAAGAAGAAATTGAAACTGATTTGACTTTCGAGCAGAGGCTGGTATTTATGGCAGTTGCTTGAATCTAAAACAATAACGAGATTGTTAAATTTTCGTCAACTTGTATAAACTTTTCTATAGCCTGTCAAGAGTCATAATTACCCGCAAGGAATCAAGTGTCCGTCAAAGGCGCAATGACACCTTCAATATCTCATGATTTGTCAAGTATATGTGTTTCTGCACATTTCGCTCGAACTTTTTACGCGTGCAACCTGAAAGAATAAAATATTGAATATTTTAAAATAATTTCGTAATGATTTCAAAGAAGGTCATTCATCATATACAAATCTTTGAACTGCACTCACTGCTCTCTGGTTCCTCAAAAAGCCAAAAGATGAAATCCCCTTTCATTCAATTTTTCCCACCAATAGATAAAAGGTTTCAGGCAAACGAAAATTTGAAAGGATGTCACAGTTTGCCTCAAAGATTTTCATCTGGATCAACTCAGTCCCGAATGAATTCAACTGTGGTGTGCTTCTTTGATCTCTTTTACAAGGAGATTGTACAACATCTTCTATATATTTTGAGTCGATGTGGCATTCAATGTCCATGCAGCAGTAATAATCCGAGTCAATGTGAAGGCAAGGTGGAGGAATGCCTCACCTGAACTTTATGTAAGAGTCTTGAAAATGAGACAGGAAGCAGGAAAAACATCCCGTTCTTCTCCGAGACTTTGCATGCAGCTGTGAGCTGACCAAGGAATAACAAATAATGCTGGTTCATCAAAATACCTTCAGGAGAATTATTCGTGAACACGCAAGCAATCAATACTTTTTCACTGATGCCAATGAGTGGCAGATATTTCCTTTGCAGTCCCAAAACTGTGAAAATATAAATACGATCAAGTGCATGAGGTGAGAGGTTTCTTCCTGTCACTTCCTCTTGAACAAGAAGGGTGAGCCTTTTTCACTCTTCCTCCTCTCCTGTCATATTGTACAAGGGTTCTGACGAAAGTTCTCAAAGTAGCAATGAAAATGGCTTACAGTTGAACTGAACCAAATTTATTCTTAAGGGAAAACATATTATTTGGCACATAAAAAAATATCAGCCCTGTTTGACAAATTTTGTTTGAATTTTTTTCATAATTCACCCTGGCAGAGTTTTGCTCTCCACTCAAAAGATGAGGCGCCCTTTTTTTTGTAGCTGAGAATTCTCCTCAGAACTTTTAAAATCAACTTGACATTCTCTCTAAGGATTGTCTCCAGGTCATTCAAGGCAATTCTGCCATTTTCATTGACAGCCACCTTCACAGCTGCCAAAGTGACGGCCAATGTGGCTGCTGTAAAGGCGGCTGTTGATGAAAATGGCGGAATTGCCTTGGATGACCTGGAGGCAATCCTTAGAAAGAATTTGAAGTTGATTTCAAAACTTCTGAGGAGAATGCTGGGCTACAACAAAAAAGGGTGCCTTGTCTTTTGAGTGGAGAGCAAAACTCTGCCAGGGTGAATTATGAAAAAAATAAAAAAATAAATTGTCAAACAGGGCTGATATTTTTTTATGTGCCAAAGAATATGTTTTCCTTAAAGAATAAATATGGTTCAGCTCAACTGTAAGCCATTTTCATTGCTACTTTGAGAACTTTTGTTGGAACCCTTGCATGCAGGCTGTCATTGATGCCCCCACCCCCTCTATATCATGCAGAATGCAGCTCTTTTGAGTATCCAGCATTGAATATGATTGATAAGTCCCATGAGCTCATGGTGTTTAATGCAGTGCAAAGCTCATAAATATATCAGTATGTGTCCTGAACTTGAGATGATGAACTTCTTTCTTTATCTGACTGAGGACAGATGTGTGTCACACTTTTTGTCTTGATGTACTTTACGCTGCTGAGAGGCCTTTCCCAATGTCCGTGTATAACATTTTCAGGGACACAATACGTTACATGAATGTATATTCAACATATTCCATATGTGAAACTTCCAGGAGAAAGATGGTGTCATGAGAGGACCCATCCTAAAGACATCTTTGCAATTCATTTAACAAGTATTGTCATGAGTCCATTGGATCCCAGACAAAGGAATTGAATTTTGCAGCCATCAGAATGCAAGTTTTGAATAAGAACTCAAACTCCTTTTCAGTGGAGTTTATTCTCATTGCCCAGTTCATCAATTGGCTGTTAGTTCAATATAATGGCAGAGTCAATGGTTAGATCAGAAGAATGAATCAGGTAATTTAAAGTTAAAAGGCCCTTTAACATTAGGTTCTGACTTCTTGACTTCTCCTCTCAAAGAGGAATGAGGGTGTTTATACCCAAGTGCTTTTACTAGGTCAGGAAGAAATCAGATGATTTTTTCCTGGCTCAGGATTGGCCAATTCAGGCAAAATTTAAGAAGTGATGACCACTTCTTGTCCTTGAATGAGGCTCAGTGAGTCTTGCAAAAATGGAATTTTTGGGAGGCTCACTGGCCTCTCCAGAACCAACACGTTTTTGGGGTCCGGTTTCCACCGGATGCTGGAGCTGCGGCGCTTTGGTCCGCAACAAGTATTACAAGATTGTTTCAATGCAGTACGTGGAGTACTTGAATAATAAAGTCATATAAAGTATGCCAGAAATACATTTTATAGTTTCAGAATTGTGTTGCTTGACAGCTGAACAAGTGTGGACTTGAAGTTTTTCTTGTCCTCAGGATTTCAATTTGGGGAGAAGTTTGGAAATGTTACCTATACTGACCAGAGAACCGCTGTACTACTCCAGAGGTAATACTGGAGGTATTCCAAACTTTGAGTGTCATTGCTTCATTGGAATACCTGCTCATTTTCTGTAGAAACCAAGTGGAATAATTTTTTCAAAGCCCAATTAAGACCTTTCCCAGATGAGGGATATTCCCTTGAACCTGGGCATGTTTTTTGTTTAGTCTTCTCAAAGGTGTGTGTCACTGGATGCAGGCTTTTCAGATTATCATTTATTAGAGCTATATGCCCTGGCTGAGAATGAACTAATGAATTATATGACTCATTCCAACGATCTAACTGTATGAGTCGATGGAATGAAAATCAAGCATCTTTTTCATCTTTTTAGCATTTTGGTCATTCGAATGATGTTTTCCACATCCCACTCAGACTTCGAGAAACAGTATTTCCCCCGGGATGTTTTGTATGGAACATTGCCAAAGTCGTCTATAATACGAAGATTGATCATTCCAAGCATGTTTATGCGAAAGATTCCGTCAACCCACAAGAACTCCATTATGGTTCATTTTTTTGCATACTGCTGTCCTTCAATTATGTTAATGATGCGGAATTTCAGTATTTAAACAACAAACTGGCGACTCAACATTGAAAAGAAATTACATGTGTCCCATCAGGACACAGAACATCGTCCCTGAAAGCGTACACTCTTCATTGTAAAAAAAGAAATATTGCGGATGCTCCGCGAATAAAGTTTATTTTGTGCATGTTTTTTGGAAACCAGAGAACAGTGAATGCAGTTGATGGTTGTAAATGCATCGACTTACCTGAAATCCTTGCCACGTTTTTGAAAACTTTAAAAGATTTTCATTCTTCAAATTACACGTGGAAAGGAATCGAAGGAAAATGCGCAGCTAAACGTCCATTTGACAAATCCTGGGATATTGAACGTGTCATTGCGCATTTGCTGATATGCACTCAATTCCTCCGGTACTCAAAAGTCCTCACAGGCTATGAAAAAATTTAAACTAATTGACGAAATCATTGCAATCTCGTGGTTATAGATTCAAGCAACTGCCATAAATACCAGTCTCTGTTCGAAAGTCGAATCAGTGTCAATTTCTGACTAAATTCTACCAATACAGTAAATCATCTCAGAGAAATTGATACAGTCTCAAATATGTTGAAATTCACGATTTTGGCTCTTTATTCAGCATTCTTCCTCGTCTCAGGAAGTGCTGGTGAGTATTTGTGGAAACGTCAGCCGATCTCTGCATCTATCGCACTAAAAAAAAGGTTTCCTTCATTCAGAAAAATACAAATCAATAATCGACTCAATGAAGTGAGACATGCAGCTTTTTAATGCTAGTGAATGAAAAATCATTTTTGTGTGGCTCGTCAACACCTTCNATGAAAAATCATTTTTGTGTGGCTCGTCAACACCTTCCTTTTTCGTGAAATTTGGTTTTGCTTTATCGCTTTAACCTCAACATGCACCGAGTGCGTTGCTGATTGGTGTTGAATATTCCCAGCATGAAACAAACTTAATTTTCAGCCAGAAAACTTCAGCCAATACGAAAGCAAACGAAAAAAAACATAATGCATAACTCAATGAATTGACATTGCTATAGTTGAAAACTAACAAGATTGTATAGAACAGAAGTAAACAAAAAAAGGCCGACGCAGGAAACCCAGCTGAGAACATTTGAAAAATTGTCCGCTTTAGTTTTCAAACGCACGTCTTCCGTACTTGGCTTGAAAGCAACATCTTTTTAAAATGATCGGCTTTATGAGCTGACGGAAGTTAACACCAAAAATATTCGCTGGAATAAACTCCCATAGTAAACGCACAATGAATGACGAAATCTCCATGCTTTCTCTAAATTTTTGTTGCATTATTCCCAGCACTGGATACTATGAAACCAATACCCGAGTGTTGTCTACACACGGCTTGTTCACATTCATACCCACCCCAGTGTATTGGTCACCCAGCCAAGGACAGTGACTCCTCAACCGAAGTCGTTCCTGAGCCAGAAGTTGGAATTTTACCCTGTTGCAGGTTGGTGGGTACGGATGCCTCGGTGTACATCCTCTGTTCCCAAGAATTCTGCGGGGATTGGCCCGGGTCTCCAACTCTGCCAGAGGACGTGGCCGCGGCCAAGTGCTGTTACACCTTTGAAAGTGGAACTACTGTTTGCGACATTTATTCTTGCATGAATCCAGAGCAAAGGCATAACTTGGAAGGCCCCAAGATTCCACTGGGGGAATCCGAGCATGGGGTTCATTACTTGTACACGTGTTGCACAAGCAATTGTGGGCTCTTTGGCTGTGGTCCAGTGTGTTCGCCAGATAATTGTGAACTGCCTCCACCCTGGAAAGAATGAGAACCCGCATGGAAATCCCTGATGACGAAAATCCGCTTGACCTACTGAAAAGAAATTAAATCCTTTGACTACTGTATCAAGGATGTCCGAAGTATCTGTCCGCTGTATTTTTCTGAAAAAGTGCATAGTAAAAAGACACTGCCTTGAAAATTATTCTGACAATATCTTTGGATACTTTTCTTTCCAACGCAAAATTCCAGGCTGAAAATATATTTCTCTTCCAAATTATGAGATTTGTCGCTTTTTCCCTCAAATTGGTTTTGGTTTTAATGGAATCCATCTCACCTTCCAAGGAGGGGTTTCTTTCTACGATATTGTGAGGGAACCAGCAGACCAGGGTTGTTAATTTCAGTCCAATTTTTAATTGCACAATTTCAATTGCTGTTTGTTTGCTAGCCTTTAGCACAATGAAAATCGCAATTGCTGCTACACATTAACATTATTGCCCAATCACCATTGATACGAAATTAACATTTGTTTCAATACCACAATTACAAGTGTCATCACAAGCTTGGCAATTCATCTGAAAGAATTCTTATTCAATTTTACTTAGATTTTTTCAGTGCTATTGCAGAACTTGTAACCTGAAAATCTGGTAGAATTTCCCTAGTTTAAACCTTTAAAAAATTATGAAAAATTAATCCTTAAGTAGAGGAGAAGAAATAATTGTCTGATTCCAATATGCAAACACAAGTTTTTGACCAGTGATTATCTCTATTGTAAACAAATCTAACAAAAAGTGTTTTTTTCCTTCATTATTCACGAAAATTATCCTTCAACAAGCACACAAATTCCTTCAAGTACAGTCAGCCCTTAATTTAGGGCCTATCCTCCCTGAAATAGTGCAACAAATTTCTCTGAAACAAATGTCTCTCCATTGTGTTTTTTAAATGAAACCCTGACAGCAACACAAAATTGCTGTCCTGAATGATAAATACGCCAAAATCAGATAAATTAGGGCATATTTCTTGGAATATTATCAGTTCATTACAGTGGTGCCTTGCCCAATGATCACAATTTGTTCCTGAGCAGTGGTTGTTGGGTGAAACGCTCATATGGCAGAACACTTTTTCCCTTAATGTATAAGGGAAATTGCTTCAATTGGTTCCTGAAAAAAAATTCTGACCAAAAAATGTAAAAATTTGCCTAAATTTTTAAATCACGAAGCACAGATCCCTATATAAACACTGTTATAGTTCATTCAAATGCTTTTCCTTACTAAATTGCCTTGCTGTCTATCAAAAATAACCCAGAAAATTAATAGCAATTGTACTTCATGCATATGTGACATCTATGGTTGAAGCAGGAGTTGAATCTCCTGTGTAATTTTGCAGAGATGTCACTTTTGCATATGAAGTACAATTGCTATCAATTCAAGCAATTTTAGGCCTAGGATATCACCAATTACAATTTCCTTCTCTTCTTCTCACTTTCCCTCAACAAAAATGCTTGATAAACAACCATTTTTGTTGAGGAAGAAAGAACAGCATAATTTTTTTTCCTTCTACACTTTTTAGTTCAAGGGAAGGCCAGAAAACATTTGCTAGGCTGACAACTCCATTTTTGATGTGCATTTTTGTGTGCTAGGATTCTAGGAATTGGATTACTAACTTATTTTTTTAAATTTTCAGAGAATCAAGTGAGAAAAACAGAGAATGAATTTCCAAATGGATGGAAGATTTCTCCTGTTTTTTGCCATTCTTTGGTGCCATCCTCAATTTTACTAACGTATTATCTTTCACTTTCTTTTTCACCTAATTCTCTGAAAGAATGTAAAAAATAGGTTAGTAGGGCGTTTGGGGAAGAAAAAAAATTTTTCAGGTCAAAATTGGAGTTGCCTGCCAAGTGACAAATGGTTGCTCAGTGGGACAATGGTCATTGTGCAGGACATTTTTTCAGGGTTTTCAATGGTTGTTTGGTGGATCCATTGTTGGGTGGTGTGGTTGTATGGTGAGGTACCACTGTACTGAGAATCACATGCACATGCTCAGGTGTTACAGCAGGAATGATTGAAAAATTTAGACAGTTCAAACCTTCAATCTGTCCTGACAGATCTGTCTTGACATATTTATCAAAGCATGGGTATCAGCCCCAGAGAGATGTTGAGTGGAATGATCTTCAGCAAGAAAATTTAGCCACTTTATGTTGGGGTTTGTCCCTTTCCCATGAGAATCCCAGACACAGCAGGGATAAATTCAGGGTTCTAAGTAAGTCTAATCTCCATAAGGAGAATCCCAGACACAGCAAGGATAAATAAAGGGTTTGAAAAGTAGGTCTAATCCCCCCATTAGGACTGGAATCCTGGGACACAAGATTGGGAAAGAAGGGGTGAAAGGAGACCCCTTCTTTCCCAGCCTTGGATCTTTGGATTCCAGTCCTTATGGGGATTAGACTTCCTCATTTTATCCTTGCTGTGTTCAAGATTCTCATGGGCAAAGTACAAAACACAATGTAAATGGGCTATATTTTCTTGCTGAAGATCCTTCCACTCAACAACTCTGGGGCTTTGACCTGCTGTGGGTTTCCAGGCTGTATTTTATATCACAGCCTGGACCCTAGAAGCTATCCATCCCCACTGGACTTTATCCCTCTCATGTTTTGCTTTATAAAACATATTATTCTTTGAATTTGTGTATTGAGTCATGTAACTGATTTTTGTTTGTGTGCATTGTTTTTCATTTGTCATTCTACTTTTACTGGATTATTGACAAAAGCCTGTCCGGTGGAATATCTATAAAATCATTCTTTTTGTTATCAATGAAGGAATTCAATGAATTATCAATGAGGGAAACTACCCTCTGGTAGAAAATCAAAACTTTGGGAAGAACAAAACTTTCAGAATTGCTGAACAGGTTAATTTTTCCATTCTGAACATTTTCATGATTACATTGCTAGGAAATTTCCCTAACAAATGGAAAGGAAGAATTTTGATTTTGATTGCATACGCAATCCAAATTGCAAGCATTGCAATTTTGATTGCGCTTTCAATTGTGCAGGATTGTGGCACAATAAAAAATCCTGAACAGGACAGAACTTCTTGCTATTCATATAGAGATGAAATCTCAAGAAAAGGTTGAAATTAGATAACCAGAAAACCATGAACCCTTGAAACCCCCAACTGTAAAAGCTGACACTGCAAGATGCTGCAACATCTTCCCACTCAACAAATTGGCCAATCCCAGGCCCTTGAAATACATCATTGCTTAAACCAGTTTCAAGGACCCTTGTTGTAATGAATAAAATTATTCCCAGTGATCAAAAAATGCTCATTTATGATTCAAAATGTATCCAAAGTGACTTCTCCCAGAATATTGTCAAGAATGGACAAGTTGCTTTCAATAAATTGCAGGGTGCCACCTGTATCTTGAATAATGCATGAGTCCTATAATGATAATTTGAAGACAAAAACATTTGCATTTTTGTCCACTGCTTCTGTTCTTATTATAATTGAAAGTCTGTACTAGGAAAAAAAAGTATCAAATTTTCAATACTTTGGAACAGAGCCAGCATCACTTCCATGCATGGCAAAACCAATTAACTGGTGTGTTAGATGGCATTGAACTTTCTCAGGTTTCATTTGATTAGAAATTCTTGTGGGAGTGGTACAGTTGGTGGCAGACAAACAAGTCAAGGAATGCAGTTACCAAATTAAAAGAAAACACAGTGGTGGGGATGCTTTGAGAAAGCAGTGCTTAATTTAGGGGTGGTTAGCAAACATTTTCATCTCACTGTGATGGTTTGCCTCCACTCAGTAACCACTTATTGACTCACTCTCAGTCACTCTTAATTGCATTGTGTTCTTAATCAATTCACAAATGAATTACTAGAAGTTCACAGTTGGCTTCTTGGCTCTGTGTAACTTTGGTGTCCATTTGTGCCAGCAGCTTTCTTCCAATGATTGGTTTTGACTGACTTTTCAGTTTCTGGTGAGCTCTCTTGCTTCTTAAAACAACTAAAAGACATTTTTCCGAAGAACTCACAGTATTGATCATCAACCCAAGATATTAAGATAAAAACCAAGTTCCCAATACTTAATGTCCCATAGTACATGAATTTTAAAATCTAATTGTTTCACTGCTTGAGATTTCCGCCTGTTGAACCACAAATTTATTTCTACAGTTATTCAAAGCAAGAATAATTGGAGAAATTCTCACCTCCACAATAAAACTATTAATCTAAATTGTGGAATACTCTATCAAACAGGAAAACACTATTGCAGCTGATATTTTCTACTTAGATAATGTTAAATGCTTTTTATGGTCTCATAGAATCTAATTCAGAACAGCAGACGTGGAATCTCACGCTGCTTTAAAATAAACAGGATTTCAGTGAGAAATTCTTCACGGATAAGACCAACAGCAACGAGCATCTGTAACCAAGTCATGTGCATAGTATCGAAACTTGCTGTTGCATGACGTCTTGTTCATCAGCAACTAAAAATTTGTGATAGGTAAACCGGATGCAAAAATGTCCAACTAACAGCCTTTTCTCGTAGAACTAAAACACGATTCGCCAAGGTTCTTTCAGTCACCCACAGGTGTCACTGCATGCAACATGCACGTGATTTTCCAGCTTCGGCAATGATACTGGAGACTCAAGGGTTTCTTTTAGAGTTATTACCAGAAAAAAATATGCTATGGTACCCTGTTGAACCACATATATTTGTACAGCAGGATTTTGGCAGTTTAATGGGGTTGGCATTAATGGAGGGAAGTATGGACAGAATAAAAATTAGTTCTGCCTCCACGTGTCTGGTTAGCCTCCAGCCATCAAACACCGGTCCCTCCAATTGCCAGCCAGGGCAGTGCTTGGTCTCTCCAATCCCCAGCCCACCAAACCGCAGTCCGGTCACCCAATTGTTGGGGCATACCAACAATCAGGTGACTAGGATCCCATTGATTCTAAAATCCTGTTTTGCAGTGTTTGAAGATCAGAATGGTTTCCTACCACAGAGGATCTTTTTTTTGTGCAAAATTTCAGCAATGTTCGGTTAGTTCAATTTATGTTGGTTTAATTTAGGTTAGGTTAGTTTAGGTTAGGTTAGTTTAGGTTAGGTTAGGTTACGTTATGTTAGGTTAGTTTAGATTAGGTTAGGTTAGTTTAGGTTGGGATTGATGAGTTTTTTCTTTTTGCAAAAATTTTTAAAAGATGCAATTTTGTGCAAAACAAATTATCTGTTGCAGGAAACCATTCTGCTCCCCAAAGACTGGAAAGACACTGCAACCAGGATTTTAGAATCAATGGGATCCTAGTCACCTGATTGTTGGGGTTCCTCAACAATCGGGTGACTGGACTGCGGTTTGGTGGGCTGGGGATTGGAGAGACCAAGCACTGCCCTGGCTGGGGGTTGGAGGGACCGGCATTTGACAGCTGGCGGGTGCGCAACTGTGAATTGACCAGCTGGCAGCTGACCCTGTACCCTGCCTCCATGACCCACCAGCTTTCCTCAAGCCAATGCATCAGCTATTTTCCATTCTTTGCTTCTTGGGGACATTTGCTCACTACATCTCCCAATTCTTCAATTTGAAAGAAAATTAATTAATGCAATGCTTAAAAAGAAAATTCTTCCAAATGGGGTTAGGCTAGGTTCAATCTACATTGGTCAGGTTTTTCAGTCTATTGGTTGGAATCATGCAGGACAGCTAAGGCTTATTTAGGTTGAATAATATTGCACATTTTTCTCCAATTACACTCTTTGCCAAAAAAAATATATTAGGAAATTGATTAGAGTTATCTCCAAAAACAAAGGACAAAGTTCAAAAATATCAAGGAGAAGATGAGCATTTGGCAGAAGCTAGCATGATTGCTAGCTTTTGGTGAGAACTGAAGCATAGAATCACAGTACTCTTTTGACTCAACTGCAACATTGATAGAGGGGAAGCCTTTACATTCAAGCATTTAAACCACAATATCAATGGAATCCTGATTCCTAAAAATTTAATAATTGATAAACTTGGCTAATGTGAAATCCATCCTGAAATCAGCAATCTTCCTTTTGAATATACATTTTAACAAGTGAGGGAAGTTCAAAAGACCCTCCTTTTCCACCAAATGGCAGCATCTTCAACTGCTCTTGGTATGGTGAGGTATTTAGTCTGTATAATATAGCCTTAACTATCATTATTGTTCCGCATTCAGCCTCCTGGTGCTGCACATATATGCATGCACAATGTATTTGGTGAACATACTCTGAAAGTCTGGCCACTTATCCCAGGCATAGGTGCTGTAATAGTCCAGGTCAAGGACCCTATGCCAAAGCATTTCAGACTGGACAGAAGCTGTGATTGAGGTTTCTGCAGAAACAAGTCCCAAAGCAAGAAGGAAAAACGAAGCAAAAAGCAAGAAAGGAGAAAAAAGCAGGAAGAATGCAGTTCTTGATGCTGCATCAATAATGATGATGATGACAAGGATGAGGAACCTGAGATTCTTCTGCTGATGACACTTCTGCATGCTTCTATTGCTCTCACTGCAACAACAAAAGGAAACACAGCAATAAAAATTAAAGCCCAAATCCAATCTTCTGCTTTTGTCCAGGCCAAGACTCCAACTCTGGCAGTAATTCTCCTTCAATCAATTGCAATGGTTTCTGCTGTTGTCCAAACAATCCACAGGACTCAAATCCTCCATCACAGACCAAAAATCCATGATCTATTTGTGACTCAAAGTGCTAAATAAAATCATTCACAATATCCTCTCTTCAAACAAAAGTCTTTCAGGGCTTTCACATTAATTCTAACAACCATTGCTGTACCTTTCTCAGTTTCCATTTCAGAGATAAAATGATGCGCTGACAGGCAAAGAATCACTTGATGGAGTCCTGACTCCCATGAGTGATAAATATGATGAATTCAATATATACTTTTGCTACAGCCTTGATCTTGCTTGGATTGTCCTCTGCTTTGACCAACACAACCACTTTGTTCCTGCCATCAGGATCAGGTTCTCCATTTATATTATAACCATTGAACCATTTTGCTGATCAATGAGGTTTATACCAATACAGGTGGGATAGAGTTTGACTACTCTGTCAAAATCAGGAGTCACTGGGATCAACAAGAAGGCCTGCCAGAGTGCACCAGAGAGAAAAGGGAGGACAACCTGAAGTGCAAGAACCCCAAAAAGCGCAAAAAGAAGAAATCATGCAAAGAACCCAGTGAAGAAGAATGCAAGGAGTCAATAAGAAAGTACCAAAAGGTTTCCACTGCTCCTCCAAACGTACCTGACCCATCAGGTTGTTGTTCCACATCCAGTCATCAAAACCCTGAGGAAGAGTATTCTGAAAGTTATGAGGACTATGATTATGAAACCAGAAGCAGGAGAATTACATGTGTTTGCTGCAACCCAAAGGTAAAGAGGGTGAATGCAGGAAGAACCAAGTTTTGCATGAGCAATCAGCACAACCAGCTGCCCCAGCAGATCTTTTGTTGTTATGGACAGCAAACCCAAGCAACACCCCAGGCCACTGTTAGTACCCAGCAGACTGCTGCTGAAACCCCTGGTGCTCCTTCTTGGTACCCAACCTTCCCAAGCATCCCAACATACCCACCTTTCCCTGAATATCCTCCTTTCCCTACTTACTTTCCTTATATTCCTCCATACCCTACCCCTTTTCACTTCACTAGAGTTCACACCACCCCTGAGGAACCTTATTGGACTGTTGAAGCAACCCAAAGGCACACCACTCAAGTCCACAGTACACCCAGCCCAACAGAGACCACACCTTTTGTGCAACATACAACCACTGCCCCACGTACCACCATGGCCCCCCATACAACCTCTGTTCCTGCCACAGCCACTGTTCCAGTCACAACCACTGCTCCAACCACAACAACTGTAGAAACCACAATAACAACCACTACTCCTACAACAACTACTACCCCAACCACAACAACTAAACGGAGAACAACTAAAATTGTCACAGTGAGTTCCATGATGCAGTTCCTTCCATTTTCAAGTCTTCCTAATAAACGTCTCGGTTCTTTCAGCATGTCATCACAGAGCCCTCCCTCCCCAATATATTCCAAGATCAAAGATTGGCCAAAGCATTAAGAAGGCTGTTGGACAATCATGAGGATTCACACAAACGCCGGGGACTCATAAAAGAAAGGGTGAATGTAGAGAAGTACTATGTCTTCCCACCTAAACATGGGATGTCCATGGGCCACCATCCTCCAATTCATCCTGCAGTACAACCAGTGATTCCACCCAGACTCCAGCCTTTCATGCAATATAGGAAAAGGTAGATTATGGAATAAACATCTGAACAGTTTGTCTCAAAATGCTTGTTTTTGGTCATCACAACTAAAAAAATCTCACAAAATTTGTTGGGGAGCCAGAACTTGGGCCAAGCAGGGATGCTGGGTCCCAGAACCTGGATTCTGGTCCGATTTTCATTTGAAAATCCACTTATCATGCATGCTAAACTTCTTCAAATTGAGTTCCTCCTGAAAATCAGAGGCAGGAGAAAAAATTTGTGTCAGGCCAGATGACCAAAGCATAATGCTGAAACATACAATACCCATCCATTCCCCTTTAAAGTCAATCAGTCTACATGTACTGAAATAATTCCTACTAGAAAATCCCTGCAACTCTCTGCCCAATACTCAAAATTCCTTCATTTGTACCAATGCATTGTGATATTGATTCATCAATTTCTGTTACACATTTGTACACATTCAGCAGTTCTTGGATGTTTTTTCACTTCTTCATTGTGATGCTTAATTTGTACTGTATTGTGCTTTGCCTTGCACGGGCTGTGTTTCTCTGCTGCTTATTAATAAACCAGATAAAAGTAGTGATCTGTAATCAAAGGGCTCCCTCCATCACAACACATGCAAAAACCTTGATACCCAAAATGGGGCTCATGGCTATAGGTAGGGTCAAGGGTGTAAGAGAACAACTTTCCAAATTTCTTTAAAATACTGATGGGGAACCAGAATGTGGTCCCAAGGGCAATAAAAGGTCCTGGGACCTGAATTCTTGTCCTGTTTTTCTTTGTGCATCTGTTCCCTGGATTTGAAACTTCTTTGATGCACACTACATGCAGTGGTTGAAAAAGTCAGAAATGTTAATGAAGTGTTTCTTGCAAATGAAAATGATTCTTCAGTTTGCAGCGTTCCCACCACAGCAGTCAAAATCAGGGTTGTTAATAGCAATCCAATTTTCAGTTGCACAATCAAAATTGCTATTGGTTTGAAAAGTCTTAGCACAATCAAAATCCTAATCACTTCTACACATTGAAATTATTGCACAATCAAAATCACTATTAAACTATAACTTTTTTTCACTATTGCAATTGCAAGTTTATCAATCAATCTTACAAATTCATCTCCAACAATTTTAATTCAATTTTACTTATAGTTTTTCATTGCTATTGCAGGCCTTGACATGAAAATCTAATAGAATTTCCCTAGTTTAAAACCTTTACAATGTATGAAAAATGAATCCTAGAGTAGAGGAGAAATTGTTTTGTCAAATTCCAATATACCACCAATTTTTTTTTTACCAGTGAATACCTTGATCCAGCAAACAGACATTATAAAAATTGATATGTCCTTCATTATTCATCAAGATTATCCTGCAACAAACACACAAATTGATTCAAGTACAGTCAACCCTTAATTTGGTGCCAAACCTCCCTGACATGGTGCCACAAATTTCCCTGAATCAAATCTCCCTTGATTGTGTTTTTAAATAAAACCCTGACTGCCACAAAACAATTCCTGTCCTGAACAAAAAATAGGCCAAAATCAGAGAAATTAGAGCATATTTCTTGGAATATTATCAGGTACTACTGAGAATCAAATGTCCATGCTCAGGTTTTAGGGCAGGAATGATTGGCCAATTGAAACATTTCAAAAATTTTTAGGGATTCTATGACCAAAGCAGGTCCCAGAACCAGAGAGCTATTGAGTTGAATGATCTTTAGCAAGAAGTTTTAGCCCTTTTATACTGTGGTTTCCACCTTTCTGATGAGAATCCCATACACAGCAAGGATACATAGAGAGTTTCAAGTAGGTTTATTACACCATTAGGACTGGAATCCAAGGATTCAAGGCTTGGAAAGAAGGGGTGGAAGAAGGGGTTTCCTTTCACCCCTTTTGTCCCAGGGGTTTCTTTCAACCCTTCTGTTCCAGCCTTGAGTCCTTAGATCATAGTCCTTGGATTCCAGTGCTAATTAATTAGGGGCACTAAACCTACTTTAAACTCTCTATTCATCCTTGCTGTGAGTGTAATTATCATGTGAAAGGTAGAAACCCTTATATAAAAGGGCTCAATTTTCTTGCTAAGATCATTCCACTCAACAGCTCTAGCTCTGGGGCTAGGACAATCTCTGGGTTTTAGGGCTGTGTTTCATACCACAGCCAGGAACCTGGAAGCTATCCATCCCAGCTGAACTGTACCCCACTCATGTTTTTTTAATGAACCATGTTATTATTTTAATTGGAGTCATGCAACTGTTGTTAATGTGTACAGTGAGACCCCAAGATGCGGATGTGATTGATGCATGAAGAGTGTGCCTAAGTCAAAACGTCCCCAAGTTGAGTCTCATTTTCCCTTAGACTTACATTATATAATTTTTA